TGAAAGAGTCATCAAAGGCGTGGCAGGCGAGTTCTGGGGTCTCCCTTTATACCAGACGGGGCAAATCCTGGGCTGCACCAACGAAGTCCGGGTGTGCAAGATATCGGGTCCGGGCGAAGGCGGCGTGCGAACTCCTGGTGGAACGGAGGCGGGTACAAACTTCTTATGTAACCTTTAGCAAGTCACTTAAGCATGTTACTCCTCAGTTACCCATCTGGAGAATATACCTATGTACATTTCCCATGGGCCTGAGAAACATTTTGAATTCTGATCCTGCAACTGCTTGTGTGTGCACTTGGGACTGTGGGGGTGATTTTTCTTTTTTATTTCCTTAGCTCATTTAATTTCCTTTCACTTTTAAGTATTGGTAACCAGCTGGTATGTCTCCTTCCTTAGCCAAGAACCACCTCAGTAGGAGTGGGCACTCCTTTTGAAAGTGAGGGACATGTTGCATTCTTTTCAAAACTTTAGTTATGAGCCCAAACTCCTAACCTAAAAGCTACTGTTTAATCAACTTTTTTAACCCTGTCCATAGGAAGATGCTTGGGTGAGTTTTTTGTCAGGATTTCATAGACATTAGGGCTGGAAGGGACCTCGGAAGATCGAGTCCAGCCCCCTGCCCAAAGGGCAGGAAGTCAGCCAGGGTTCATAGGATCCCAGCAAGATGAGCATCCAGTTTGCTCTTGAAGGTGTTCAATGTGGGCGCTTGAACCACCTCCGGTGGCAGGCTGTTCCAGACCTTGGGGGCTCGGACAGTAAAGAAATTCTTCCTTATGTCCAGCCTGAAACGGTCTTGTAGTAGTTTATGACCATTCGACCTAGTCGTCATCCCTTGGGGCGCTCTGGTGAACAAATGTTCCCCCAGATACTGGTGGTCACCCCTGATAAACTTATAGGTGGCCATCAGATCACCCCTGAGCCTGCGCTTTTCCAGGCTAAAGAGCCCCAGGGCTCTCAGCCTGTCATCGTAGGGTCTGCTTCCCTGACCTCTGATCATGCGCGTGGCTCTTCTCTGCACTCTCTCAAGCTTCTCCACATCCTTTTTGAATTGTGGAGCCCAAAACTGGACACAGTACTCCAGCTGCGGCCTCACTAAGGCCGAGTACAGGGGGAGAATGACGTCCCGGGATTTGCTTGAGAAGCATCTATGGATGCAAGCCAGCATTTTGGTC